CCTTTTCTGCGTGCTAAATGTCTTGTGTTCTTTGGCCGTACATATGACCTTGCTCTTTCGCTGTAAATGAATCCGTTTTGCGGATAAAATTTAGGCGCAAAAAAGAGCTGCAAATGCTGCAGACCGAAATTGATAGGGCCGTTGTAGTCTAAATTTGCAGAAATTTTAATATTTTTTTGGGGATCTGTAGATGTTTTTTCGTTTAATTCCCTGCGGCATTAATTTACCTCCATCTGCTAAAATTGCGAGAAACATGATTCTTTGGGTTCAAAATCCTCGTATTTATTGCTTCAATCCGAAAATTCCAAAGATTGTTATTTCAAAATTAGATTTTTATAAGTTTCAGTCATCAAAGATTCCGTGACGAAAAGATTTTTTTTCAAAAATTGTTTCCCTTATATGTCACGTATATCTCATGTATATCTCAATTCCAACGAGCACTAGAATTCCGCGAGATCTTTATAGTGTCAAGATATTGCGTGATATAAAAACATTATGCCATCGTACTGTTTCATTATTCTCTTCACAGGAACAACATATGACTAGAATTCTTTCTTTTTCGTTCTTCTGTAACATTTCTATGGGCCGCCTATTGAACTTTTCCCCGAAATTGCATATAATTTGATTTGATGATAAGTTTTCTTTGTCTAACATGATCAAAGAACTTGAGGCCGGGGTTATAGTAAGGGCATTTCCAAGTACAGAGTTATTGTTTTGCTTCTTTTTTATTGTTGTCTCGACGCTCAAAGCTCAAGGACCTGAAGACGTTGTCCTAATCCAGTTATCGCGTGCAATTAAGAGCCCGGAGGCATTTTTTTGGTTGATCAGAGAACTTTTTTTTATATAAGTTGGAAGTCTTTGACAGCGCTTTTCTCATAATATAGTATAGGATAGTTTGTAAGATACGACAATTCATGATATTCGACTTTTCTTTATATGTACCTCAGTTATCGTATTATAATAGCTCTAATGGTATACTATGCTCTTCTATTTTCGGCCCTGTAAAACAATTAACTGTTCAAAAAACAATAGTTTACAGTATCGTTTTACCCTCAATCATGCCCGTATTTACGTCGGCCGCCTCCTGTTGACAACACATTTTTTTTTACTTCGAAGCTCATTTAGACCAAAGAAACTACCGTCTGCCATTGAAATCAAACTTAAAGTCGGGGTTATTTTCAGCCCTGACGTCCTCAAAACTTCCGTATTCCCGGGGAAACTAATGTTATTCACATATTGTGTTTGATTAAGATCCAGAAGACTTTTCTTGGATAGAGAGGTTTACGCACATTAGTCTTAAAGATGTAGTCTCTAAGCCTTTTCTCTATTCTGGATTCCGACCTTTTCTACAAAACCCTCTTAATTAAAGATTAACCGTCCAATTTTTGCTAAGAAAATGCCGCATTTCTCGCTATAAATATGGCTGTTAGGCATTCAGAGGCTGTTTTATTATAGAATTGAAGAGGGTGGTAATAACTTGTGTATGGAAATTAGGAATACATTCTGAAAGGTCGACGTGAACTTTGTTGCAGGGCGATATAAAAGGAGCTGTCTGGAAGGGGACGAGGTTGTTTTGTAGAGGAAGAAATTTAGGTTTTCTTATTTCCGCTTGACTATAAGAAGAGAGTTACGGTAACTTTCATTATTCTGCGAACCTCAAGCCAAAACGTTTATTGGCTTTTTGAAAAACAATGCTCCGAATGCCAATTTATCTTTGTGAGAGTCGCTAACTGATGGCTTATTGCAAAACCTTTTTGTGCCATCCTTTGTCAATATGTGTTTACCCAAAACACCAGACATTTCCAACATTTAGATTCCTCCTATCTCAACATTCCATGTATTTCTGTTATAATGAGTTCGAAAGCACTGAAATTCCGATTTCTGAATCTGCTTCATTACTCAGGAACAATATTCTTTTATGAACCAGGAAAGCGAAACCACGGAAGTTCCAAAAGTTCTCGGACTCTTTACAACAACACCTGATGATGTAATTACCCGGTAAAAAGAGTTATTATAAGCCTGTCATTACTGTCACGACATGATACGTCGTTCCGCGAAATGTCCTTAGATTGTTTACAATACAAGAATACTGTAATTAAAAATGAGAAACGCGAGATTGTTTTTGGGTGGTATAGTACAAAAGGTTCAGTAGAATTTATGTTCGGCTTGAATTTACATTGTGTATAAGAGCCAAAACAACATTCTGCTTTACATTTCCTCGAGGCCTACTTCCATATTTAGGATAATTCAATCTAGTTTTCTCTCCATTCTTCGTATACAAACTTCGCGGAATGACGAGGAAATATTTCTGGAGCAATTGGCGCCATTTTTAGGCATCGAAATTTGAGAGCCCTTAGGGGAAGGGGAGATTGTTGTAGGAATTACTCAAATGACGCCAAGTCTGAGGGTGGGAACGGCCTTATAAGATCGCGCTGCACTTATTAGATTGCATTTGACGTCGCTTTGAAACGTGCGTAGCGGAAACATTTCGAACGATAGATTTACATATTTTTCAGTCTTTTTTTTGGTGTTTACTATGCACATATTCTCCAAACAGCTTTCAACCTTTAACTTGTTAATCCAATCTATTGACTCCACATGTATTATGCAACTATTTTTACCGGCGATTATCGCAATTATCAGCTAAAACTGCCCATTTAAATTTCATATCAGCGTGTTTTTACACACGTTTACAGTTTGTACTTTTCTGTTTATTTGGACTTAAAATTCCAAATTTCAGCAGAGAGTAACGAAAATACTGTCTGATAGAATTTGGGATATTACACTGTAAAGACCAGGGCGAGACAAGGGTACGGTCGATATTTCCGGCTTAATGTCTTTGTCTGGCCAAAGCCTTAGCCATTTCTTCGACTCAGATATCACAAAAACCCTCAGTACATATCTGTGAAATCCTTTGTTTTTTATTCTTTTTACTTCTAATACCCCGTGGGGATTAGAGGGTGGATTGACAGTATTTAATGGCAATTTTGTTGCTTTTTCTTTTCCTTGACGTCTTTAGGTAATTGCAAGACATACATATCATCACCAGTGTTATATCAAAGATAATGGCATACTTTCCTCGGGGATGACTTCACTTTAATACAATGTATTCTTCTTGCATTATCTTACCATACATTTGTTTTAAAACTCTGATTAAAATACGAATTTGTTACAATGTGTAAAGTCCTCTAATTGCCAGGTCCAAGGTCCTCAAAGTTCTTTATTACAACTGATGAAATTAAAAAGTGTTACGGTTTACGTCTTTCATGACAGAAAGGAGGGATAAATTAGAGGTATCGGCAGTGTTCCCAGCATGTATTCGCTGTCTGGCTTCTTTATAATCTTAATTCTTGTTTTCGATGAAGTTAAATGGGGAGTTTCGTATAATTCTTGTTTACCAATACGCATCATGTAATTGTTTACGCGATGCGTAATGCCTATAAATTTAATTTAGACGATGTTTGAAGCCTATATAGCATCTTCCTTGAAGTCCGGCGGTATTCAACGAAATTTGTCAACGCGAAAGCCAAAAAGTAGAGTGTTGTCTCAGAAAAGAACAATGGAAATAATGAACCAAAGTTGCCATGTTTTCAGCATTTTTAACTTCAATTTCTTGACGGTATCAGCAGAATGTTTGCATGACCTCAAAAAAAGCCATGCCTTACCCTACAAAATCATCGTGACCAGAATTTGGACCCTTACTCTGTACCACACCCTTATAAGCCCACAAAATTCATGTCCGTGCCTGTCCCCAAAAACTTAATTACCTATTTATGATAGTTCCGCGTAAAACTTCCTGTTTAGACAAATATTTTCCCTTCAACTCCCAATTTAGCCCCCATCCAGAATTGTGGCCAAACATCGATCTTACAAAATGCACCTTCCATTGTAATCTTTTTTCCACAAATTTTAAATTAATTTCAGTGCAAAATTGCATGATTATTGGGAACATATACTTTAATGAGTACAACTTATACTTTTTTTTTTTTTAATTTCGGGAAGGATTTATAAAATTCAAAAATCTCATTTCTTTAACTTTTTACAGGTATTACATAAGCCGCGTGGGAAGGGAGTTTATCAATCATAAACATAAATTAGAACCGTCAGCTTATCCTCAAAATCCTTAAACCCGTCCTAAAAACACGTTGAGATTAAACATGACAAGTGTCGCTAATCCCAGACACGGCTCTTGTGACAATTGGACCTTATAGGTGTTACAATCGGACCTCTGATGACTCTTGTTAGAATTCTCACCCAGTTCCGAGTAGCGTAAATAAAATTCAAACTTTAATTTCTGGTCTGTTTTCTCTTCGGATAAAATGGGATGGCGGATTGTGCGATAAAGGTATATAAGTACATGGAAGGTGTTATTAAGTGTCCTGTTGTTCAACTTTAGCGTTGTAATTATCGCTTCTAACGCAATCCCCGGCATTCTACACGGCCATATATACCTCGTATATTCCTTCTTCCGTCTATTTTGCCATAAGACCTTGGATGTTTGTGTTTACTCTCCAAAATTTCTCCCGAAAATTTTTGGTGTCAAGAGATGTCAAGTATAATATAATAAATTAGAGGCGTAATCTTGGTATGTATCCGAAAATGGATGGGAGATATTTCCACATGTCTTTTTGGTAATTTTCTCGGATAAACTTCTTGTTCTTTAGCCTGAATTATCTCAGACATAGTCACTACGCCGGGATTAAGAGAATTCATAAGTCTTATAGTATAAAACGTGATGGTTACGAACAATTTGACGGGGATTGGAAGCCATAGTTTGATTGAAAAGTGCATGAGTTTAAACTATTTCAACGGCTTCGTTATTCATCGCATGTTTTACCAAAATTTTCATGCATAAGGACTCAAAATGACTACTAATTTGTTATGATGGCGTCCCTCATTATTCAACCCACCTAATTAATCATATTTCCGCGTCAAATTTTAAAATTTTCCACCTGCACATTCATCTCAAATTACCTAATATAAATCACTAATTTCCAGACATGTTGGATCGACCGGATTTCGAAAACCATACGGCCAAGACATTGCTGGTTCGGAAGATGTCCGCCCCTCAACAAAGCGCGGTCCACCCCACCGCCACCGCCCATTCTCCGACCCATCCCAGCTCAAGCAACACGGTTCAAACAGCCGGGATCCGGAGGATGTCGGCGATTGGAGTGCGTCGCGCTTCCAGTCGACACTACCCAACAGTTTACGCTTATCCGTTGCCGCGGAGTTCCGAGAGTATGGACAAGAAGAGGAGGGGATCCAGTTATCGGATCGAAATCCCGGCTCATATGTTGTTGTTGGATCGACATCCATCAAGCGTTTCGTCCTCATCTTCGATGAAGAAGTACTTGAAACAGCAGCAGGAGCTGTTGGATGAGCAACAACAAAGTCGAGGGAGCAGTAAGTTACTTTTTATTTCGTTTTTCTAATATTTTTGACCTTTACGAACCAAAGAAAACTTGATGACATTGAGGATTATCCCCCTTTTTTTAACAGACAACATTTCACTCTCCTGCGCAAGAAAAGCAAAATTTTGCAACCACTTTTTAGTTACTGTATACGTACTTTTGACCTATTTACAACACCCTTGACCCCGGGGACCCATCAGAATCCCATTTATCTGTTTTTTTGACCTCGTTTGTTTTTAAAAACCCGCGCTATAAAGACCACAATGCCGCCAAAAAAGGACACGGGGATGGATCTGTTGGAATTGAGTGAAATGAAGTGAAAAATGGGGACAACAAAGTGGCCGGAAATCTTCATTCCGAGGGTCAAAAAACGCGCGGCTTTCGCACAATGGATAAAGGGAGGATGCCCGAGGGTGGGCGCATCCCAAAACACCCGCCTCGCGACATATTCAGGTCTTTTGTCATTGCGATGTCATAACTCCATATTGTGTGGGATGACAATGGGATTTTTGGGGCCTGGAAGGAAGATCAGAAAAATTTTGAGGAAAAACGGACTTTTAATTCACCTTGATCGGCTAAAAGTCCATATTTGTGATGATTTAACTTAATGTCATCAAGTGTAATATCAAAAATTAATTTTTTCAGTCAAAATCGAGTTTCGTTTTACACCTATAACATCGTATTTTAGTACCTTTTCTGCCTGGATTTTCTCTCTGTGGCGCCATTCTTCTTGGAGCTGCCGCCTTGGCCCTATTTGTCCTACTTTTGACCCAATCCACAACCCACGAAACCAAGCTTTGTGGAGGCGATCCCCAGCCTCCCCGAGTGTCATGACCGTCTTATGGTCCATCCTTCATTGTTATTCGCCCAATTATTGTTATCATTTGTATAATTTTTCTTGAGTACAATCTTGCAATTCCTTTGCCATATTTCATGTACATTTTCTTGTATATATTTTACATTTTTCTTCGATATAGCTTCAACCGGAAACCTAGAGATTAGATTCTGGCAATAACAAGCCGATTCCGAACTTAGGAATACCCTTGTTACCCCTACAAACTCACTGTGATACCCTTTAATACAACTTTACTCATTACTGTCTAACATGTATAATAATATGTACAATGTGACTCTACGCATCCCGCGGTAATAAATGATTTGAGAAGATACGTAATCCATAATTTACTGCCTATGACGATGCACCTGACAACAATTCCAGAAACCTATCATCAGAGAGTCCAATTCGTACGAAATGCGGCCAAAATGAGGAACGAAATCTGGATAAATATATTGAAAAAATGTCGGATACTCTGTTTGAAGATTGGACTAGGTCACTTGTTCCTCTGGACTGCCTATGGACTGTTTTTGGGCTCATTCGCAATAAGTTTTTTGGAAATGGAGCGATCCGCCGCCACTTCAACACATAAACAATGGAGATACAGGGCAAATTTGCAAAGGAGAAGGTAATTTGTCCCACAAGCTTGCTTAAAATAAAAGAACTAGACATATTTGTGTCTACAGTGAATACTAAAGAACAATAATAGCCATTCTTGCAAGCTTTTTGGTGAGAAAAAAGCGTTTGGAATTTATTTTACACGGCCTTTTCGAAGAGAAAAAATTCGCAAGCCAAATGAAAAGGGAAAGAAGTGTGTCCTCGGTAGTATAGTGGTAAGTATCCGCGCCTGTCACGTGCGAGACCCGGGTTCGATTCCCGGCCGGGGAGGAAATCTTTTTGAAATCGAATACAATATCTATCTACCAATCTGCAATATCGAATGCAGACAAATCGTATCTTACATTTCTTTTTTAGCTTCATATCGCACATTTTATTGCCTCAAATCTTCAATAATTCCAAAGTTTTCCTCTTTATCCATGATCACAAGTCCAGATACCTCTCTCAAGTGCTTTATGACAGACTAATAGACTATGAACGACGGTTTAAGTGCGGAGATGATGGACGAGGAAACCAAATGGAGTCACCGAGAGGTACCCAACCTGCCTTGGAATTGTCATTTCCTCGGACTTTGTTTTATGTAAGGCCCAAACAAACAAAATCGTTATTTTCAGGCTTTCTCTTGCTCATCGACGATCGGACAAAGTGCAATTCGACCAGAGACAAGCCGAGGAAGAGCCACTTCGTTTGCATTTTCATTATTGGGAATCCCTTTGACATTGTTGGTAATCAAAGATCTCGAAGGGATTATATTGAAGATTCTGGTGATCAAGTGCACTACAATATGTAAAATTGTCCCCAAAAACTGTTTGTTATACAATTTTTAGGTCGAATATTCCATATTATCCGCTACTGTAGCTTGCGAACAGTGACCGAAACCGAAATTCGTCGAAATTTCAAACAAAATTCAACTCCAGCTCTCGTCAATTCGATAGTATCTATCAAATCTCCGGCGATGAATGTCGCTGCGAGACTTAGTTTTGTCCCCATACCAGTGGTCATGATCAATTTGGTCCTATGGATTGGATTAGGGACTTTTATTATGAACGAATACTCTACTGCAGGGAATGGCGCAAGTTACGAATTGCTGGCCTTTAACCTATTCAGCGCAATCAGCACCATTAATTTCGGATATTGGGCGGCGGAAGACAACCTATTCTTTGTTCTGGGGACAATTAGTTATGTTCTAATTGCACTTTCCATGATTTCTTTACTCATCAATCTTATCCATGCAAAGTTTGTTTTCAAATATTGGAGGGAAGAACGGAGGAAAGTAATGAAAAAACATGTGGATTCAGAGAGAACAGGGTTAATTCTAAATGACGACGAGGACGATGGAACGTTCTGCGATGAATACGAAACGGAGAATTTCTTTGACACCTCTTTCTGCAGCTACAACACTATTGGAATTTTTCAAACCGAGGTAAGAGAAATACGACAAAGAAGTTCTAGACGATCGGAAAATCTGTTTGTACTAAACTCTCTCGTTCAGGACCGCTTTCGTCTCTTCTCGGAAATCAAGTGTATGGTGGATTCGGAGACTCAAACTGATCCCAGACCATTCAAACCAATCGATCTGAACATTCCAAAACGCCCATTACTCGTTGGACATCGCGACTACATGTCTCACGATGATGTAAACTCCCTATTGCGCGAGAATTATCGACGGCCACGAAAAGAGTGGATCTAGTGCAATATCGTACAAAAAATTTGATCAACATGAATAAAAATGATAAAACCGATTGGAAGAGTCACGGGAACTGTCTAACAAAAATCAAAAAGGTTACTGTTTTGAAACACAAAATTTGATTTGTAGCAAAATGCCAATTTTTGTTTTCGTTGTGGGAGACAGAAAAATGGCGCTTGAAAAAATGAAGAAAATAAAAAAATTTTCGCAATTTCTCCTGGAAATTGTTCCGTTTGCTATAAGTTGCAAGTTTCAGAGCCATGTGGTTCCAGGCAAAGACACTAGAATTTGCTTTGGCCGAGTTCAAGGAGAATCCAACTGATGCAGATGTTCAGAACAGATTCTTGTCTCTTTTGAGGCAGAACTTTCAACGACTTCTTCATCCAATGGAGAATCAGGTAGGTTTTGTTGAGCTTTATAGTATTTCGAAGTTTAGAATGAGCTGTGAAAATTTAATTTGAAACGATTTAAGCCGGTCTCTTCGAATCAACAATTTGGACAAGATAAGATTGGCCAACCAGTCGAAGTTGGAAATGGACAGAAGATTGTTCTCACAGCAGAAATCTATCAGGATGCCCTGTCAATGCAGGAGCACTTCAAACTGGATTTTGTAGTTGCGTTGGATCTCATTTTATGTGGTAGGTCTTGATTTTCTTTTTGGATTTTAAGTATCGATGCGGGTAATGAAGCTAAACCTCCAGCTTTATAGATAAATAGGTGGCTATGGACTGTATTTTTGACATTGTATGCAAAATCCTCGTTTAGAAATACAGCAAGAATCGAAATTTTTTGGGTGTCTACTAAAATATTCTTGCTCTCAAAAAACACTTTATTTTCAGGTGAAAGTCAGAAGAAACAATACAATGACATTAGTCGTGGGCTTTGTGCTGTTCTCTGTTATTACGACGCCCATCGGAGTTTTTTGTGTACCACCAGAAGCATTCTGACTTTAATCGAAGACGGAGTTTGTCCAGAATATCTAAGTCCAGAGTTTCAGAAGTTTGTCAATGACATCTACAGCAACAACAACCTCTTTGACAACTGTTTGAGTATGTGTTTTCTCTATTTTTTTAATTTTTAGATACTTACCATGACCAAAATTATGTAAATTATTTTCAGAAGCTTTTGAAATCTTGGAAAAGCGAACAGATTTTGATAGGATCTATCAATTCGGATTCTTGAGGATAGTCGACGATATTGAGGCCGAAATCTACGAGGTTGTTTGTTTATTATCTCTGAATTGTCCAGCTTCTCAACAGAAGATTCGACTGCCAGCTTTGTTCAAATCCGCCAAGCAAATGGATTTTGACCCCAAAGGACTGACCGATAGCTTCAAAGCCGGGATTCGGAAGAGTGTCAGACTGCCTGAGTTGACTGTTTGGACTGGGATTACGTTGTTTGTCAGCCCGGCCAAGATAAGAGCTGCAGGTGAGATATTTTTGATTTTTTGTTTGAAATTTTAGGTTGTCGCTTATGAGGTTGTAATTCAAATCGTCGTTTAGACTCATCCTGCGACGAGATCTTCGAAATTTTTGAGCAGAATCTAAAAGAGCACTGGGCCCATCTCCCTCTGAAGGCGTCGATCCAATTCTTCTACGCGATCGCTGTCAAATGCACGGTCGGAACGTTCTCCCGCCGAGATCGGCTGAATGCTCAAGATCCCATTGACCAGGCAATTGACCATCGATGTCTTCATTTCATCCAACAACGCCTCTTCCAAGTCCCGAATATTTATCGATACAATTCTTCGATCGAAGTCATCGATAAATGCATCAAGGACTTTATTGTTTATTGCCCAGAACGAGTCCAACAGATGTTCAGTATCTGCGAGGAAGAGGTGATAATCATGGATGACCCGGATCTCCACAAACTTCATGATCTTAAGGATTTCCCCTTGAATTTCAAGGTCTTGCTGAATATTATTCGAGAAATCTATGAAGGCGACACGGACTTGGTCCGAAATCTGAGTCAACAGTTCTTCGATCCGAATTTTGTAAGTGCTTTTTTTATTTTGATCAAAGAACTTGAAATTTTTATATTATCTTTGTTTTTTTTAGCAATTATCCAATTTTATTGTTTGTGGAGTCTCAATCAGCGCCTCGACCCTTTACGTTGACTATGTTTATATGCTAAAGGCCCTTTGCAAGTCAAGACAAGCGGCACAATTCATCTATGAGCACTTTAACCAAGGCGGAGAGTCGTTATTTGATTGGGCCAACCTCTTCGGGACCCTCAGGCAATACGTAAATGAGTTCCATAGATCCTCAATGGCTTACACAAATCCTCATATAACTGCGCCCGCCTTTCAACCGTTGAGTCATGCGATCAGGATGAATTCCGAAGAGTTGAGTGGGATGGTTTGCTGGATTCGATTGGCCACCAAGATTGCCGAACTGGTAAGGATAATATTTTGACGGATTTTAAGGAATTTTCTCTTAATTTTGAGAAATTTTTAATGGAAAAAGAAAGAATGAGGACTAAAATAATGTCTGGTGTCTTCAGGAACCGAGATCTCGCCGTTATTTCGTCCTGGACAACCATTTTAACGCCGTTGAGACCATAATTCTGGGTGTGATGACGCGCTTCCCGCTGATCCTCAAAGGACATCTCTACAAGTTCTTGGCTGTCCTGGCCAAAGACGAAGGCTCCACCGTCCAATTGTGGACACAATTAAAGCTTCATGGCGTCTGTGATTACAATGAACAAGCCCGGAAATTAGTCGGGATTCAGGTAGGCGTGGATAATATAAATTAGTGATTACTGTTTAGACCGAGCTGGAAGAAGTTGAAAGTGGCGAGAACTCGTACGATTCGACCGAGGGCTTCCTCCATTTGGTGAAGTCGTTGTTCTCCAGGAAGAATCTCACTCAGACCGACTTAAAAACGATCGTTCCTTATGTTAAGTTTACGATCAAAAGTGTGATCTGTCAATATGATCAACGAGGATACAAGAATAAACTTCAAATGGTAAGAATTTATCCTTTAGGTTTTGGAATTTGCAATTTTAAGACTTGATGGTGACACTTTATACGATGAAATATGTTTTATAATTTTTTGGTATTTTAGTGGAATATGGTCTCAACTGCTTTGGATGCTCTGTTTGAACTGCTAAGAAGATTCCATATATCGTCAGTGTCAGTTGCCCGGGAAGGCCCTCAGGTCTCTGTTCTCAGTCAACTTTTGCATGACTCCGATCTCAGCAGAGCGGTAGGTTTGAAAATGTTTTTAAAATGCTCAATTTTCAAGGCAGCCATCTTTATTATGTAATTTCAGATATTGCGCATCATATATGAATGCTCGAACACCCTGGAAGAAACGATTACCATCCTAAGTCGCGACGATAAAAGCCCTCAATATCTGTTGGCGGAAGCCCGAAACGAAGCTGCTTTGTCAGCCCTGAGATTACTTTCTCATGCCTGTGCGGTCTATCAGACTGTCAGAGCGGCGTTAAGGATGGCCCCGGAGAACTCACGGATCTTCATAGTGTCTTTGGAATCGATACTTTTGACGCCGTTACCAACAAGTCCGGTCGTAAATTATGTCCATATCTTGAATTCTTTCGTCGAACAGCAGGATTCAATGCTAAAAGTAAGCATTATTTTGTAGAGTTTTGCAGTCGGCGGATAAAGAATTTACCTGGGTCTTTTTCAGCACACATTTTACGTTATCAGAATCCTCAGCGAACTCTGCGAACAGCTCACTGCGGATGCGAACAGAACTCTCCTCGAAACTTTTATTTCCTCTTCAAGATTGGTCCCAATCTTTGCCCGATTAATCTCAATAACCGGGAATGAAATGATCGTGGATGACAATGACTTGGTTCCCTTTGATTTGGAGGATGTCACCGAGCCGAGATTGAGAGGAGAAATCGCCAGAGACCTCCTGAATATCTACTCCAAGGTGCTGATCGCCCATCCAAGTGAATGCAGTTTTGTCCATTTGTTGTTTGGATTCAACCTGAAGAATATTGAAGAGAGCGATATGAGCGTGATTGGTAAGAATTTTGAGGGTTTGGCAGTGATTTTAGGCATTAGGGTTGGCAAAATTGTTTGGGTCGATAAATTGGTGATAATGGAGATTATTGATGATGAAATTTGTTGATTTTGTGGTTTTCAGGAGCCGAAGGAGCGACTCTCAACTCGACGGTCAGCTTGGTCGAAATTCTGGAGCATTTAGCGTTCAGTCCGAAGCCGGAGTCGGCTTCATTTGTCATTCTTTACGAATCTGCACTTAGAGTTTTGGTGAGTAAAAAAGTTTTTAAAATAAGATTTTTTTTTTTCTGAGGTTGATCCAAATTCAACGAATTTTATAAATATTTATCAGTTAAAATTTCCTGTTTCCAGCTTAAATTCGCCGCAGTTGGCTCGATTTCGTCGATCCCGATGTTGAGTTTCCTCAGAAATGGATGCGACAATTTAATCCGCCGTTTGGCCAGGTCCAAAATTTTCCTGGAAGTTCAAAATGAGACTTTAATCCATCTCGAGGAACCAATCTTCAATTCCACAGCCATCTCCCTCGATCACACGACTCCCCGACTCAACAAAGTCATCGATCAGGATACGGTAATTGAATCGCTGAAACGCCTGGCCAGAGGATTGATCCTGGAATTGATTGCGGTCGACTTCTCCGTGGCCATGAACCTTGGCCACACGGACACGGGAAGAGAATACCTCGAGATTTTGTTGTCCAATAAGGACTCGGATCAAGCGGAACATGGCCTTGTTTGGAGTCTGATTTTGAATTCGATCAGTGCTTCCTTGGAAATCCATACTCCAAGGTACAACAAGTTCGATATGAGGAAAGTTGATGATGTAAGTGCAATGCTTCTGATTGTTTTATAAAAATTGGATGAATGTGGTACTATTTGTTTAATTTCAGGTCCTTGATTTGTGCCTGAGGCGATCTCCAATCTCGGTCGATCAGTATGATGTAGAATATGTGAGGTTTTTGCTAGAACAAGAACTGGCCGCCATTGTGAACGATGACGTCTCCGACTTCCAAGACGACGCCAACCAGATCGTACTGTATTGTGTCCAATACAATGCTCAGCGAAGGCTGGAAGGATCGTGTGTTCAGCTTTTGTCGGGGTGGATTGCTCTGGTCAACGCGATTTTATACTTCTCCCCGTTGCCATTCATCCCAATAGAAACTCAACAACAGTTTTGCACGGACGCCCTTACATTGCTGAAGGAATATGTGCAGAAAGTAGAAATGAATGAGGAGGTAGGATATCGTAGTAGATGGATAATATAGTCGGCTAAATATTTTTTGTAAAAATGTTTTTGTTGATTTGTGGTTGACTTTAAACAGACTGATGATTGATCTTTTAGGTCCTTGGAGGAGTCTCCAACTGCTGCTTCGTCCTGGTCCGAGAGCTGGTCAAGTTTACCACAGTACAATATAGTTCAGAAGTGGATAGGAAACTGGCCTTGGGCGATGTTTTGAATATGCTGGTCTCTTGCGCTGTCTTGCCAAGTAAGAAATTTGTTTTGAACTTTTGCTTTGTGGTTGGAGACAATTTATACGATGGAATTTGTCTAGACGCATTTCATCGTATAAAATGTCGCCTTCTAAAGGATGATGCAAAAGAATGATCGTATTGTATTTTGTAGGCCAGATTGGGTAGTTATTCAATTGTTTTCAGCATACAACCGACATTCCCAGTTCAAAATGAACATTTATTCATCAATCTTGTGTGTCATCCAAAGCTGCACCGAAGAAACGTTTAAGAACGACAAAAAGCTGGTCGATCAGTGGCATGCGACCGGCCGTTTCCTGAATGAACCCACAGAATCACAAGCAGATAAACAGACATCTCTGATTGGTCTGATCAACGAGAAATCTCGGGTGGATGAGATCTGGGTGGCCGTCTTCGAAGAGCACGCAGCAGCACTGGTCCAGTCCACGGCTGGAGACATTGAATTCGCCCCATTCAAACACAAAGTCTTGGCCATCTCCACGTTGTCGGAAATGCTGAAAGAAGATCGGTTTGGAAAGAATTCAATCGCGAATCATGTTGTCAGACTGGGTGTAGTCAAAACATTGCTTGATTTACTCCCAAGGATCACTGATTTGGACTTCAAAAGTGGAAATGCAACAACAAACAGAGATAATCTCACTTTGTTCCATGTAATTTTGGTAAGTTTGATGATCTGGCGTCGTTTTATACGATGAAAAGTGTTTGGGGATTTCTTCGTATAAAATGTCTCCGCGTGTGTTTATAGTAAAGTTAATGTCGTTTTAGTGCTTCCTGATCCGCCTTACTAATTCCACAACTGGCTTCAAGACCCTGGCCGAGTGTAATGCCCTCCATCGCATCGCCAGTCTCACTCTTTGGCAGAACCCCCCTCGAGATGTCTTTTTCTTGCCGGTAAATGGAGAAAGCGAGATCAAAAATGGAACCCCACAGTTGTATTTGAAGTGTGTTCGGTCCTTGTTCAGGCTATGCGAAGCAGCGGCCTCTACAATTTACAAGACCTCGGCTTTGGATGGGGTAAATTGATATAGGAATGAGTAAATGAATGAAAATTATAGATCGAGGAGTGCGTATCAGTACAAACCGAACTTCTAAATCATCTGAAACGGCAATGTGAGAACGAAAAAGACCATCCACTCGTGAAAACAGCCCTATTATTACTGGAATTTGTTCATAATTTGAGTAAGTTGTCATGGATAATGTAAAATCTTATCGTTTAGAAGAATCATATCGACAAGTCCCGACAACCAATTAACCTGCTCCCAACCATGGTCTCTCATTACCGATTAGACTGATTTTACACTTGTTATTATTACCTATCATCGTTCTAAAATATTATTTATTAAAAATCTGAATAAAATTCTGAAAATTGAGAACGGCAAAGAGGTGCAAAGAGGACGAAGATATTCGCAAAAACATCCAGTAATATTTCTATATTTTTATTCGGGTTTTTTAAAAGACTTTTATCAGCATCATGGGTAAGAACTAAGGAGATCAAAGACTCTGGTTTTCCCAAGCATCCATTTCTTGATGTTTACTACTCCATTTTCGTCAACATAGAAACTCGTTGAGCCAATTCGAAAGAAATTCTTGGATAATACGATCGGACGTTGGCGAGGCTCATCACATTCTACATCAAATGAGCGCCCATTCACAATTGAGGTGTAACGAAAATTAGCGCCGTCCTGAAAGATGTGATTTAATTTCTTTGTAAAGTAAATTATGGTAAAATAAACTAAAAAAGCTTTGGCGACGCGAGTGCCTGTTCTTGATTATCGTTTATGCGAAAAAAAACTTTACTCACCTCTTGATGGAACCAGAGATACCCATGTTTATCCACCATTGTTGGATATGACTTAAGTCCCAGCCATTTCAAGTCATCGGTAACCAGCCTTCCTCCCTCCACAGAATACCGTATTACCATATCGTTGCTGAGGATAAACAAGTCTTTATCTATTGCGGTCATGCTCAGAGTAGAGACCTGCAATTAAAATTAGCATCCACGGCAGAACTCACATCGAAAGCCGGGGCTTTGGTTCCACAAGTTTCCTTTGTTTCCATGCTTAGATAATGAAGATAACAGTTTCCTCGACGATTCTCACTGAATACGAAGGCATTAGAACGGCTAACGGCCATTCTGACTTTACGACTGCGACGTGGCACGAACCCCATGCATCTGGGACGGTCGTCTTCTAATAAATTAATGCGAACAATCACGTCCAATCCGTACATGTATAAGAACGGTCCATCGAAACAAGCTACCGAGTACTTTTCGAACTAGAAATCTTCTGATTAGATCTTATATGCCGCAAAAGTTGCTTTCAACAAATAATCGCAAGGCCAACAAGCTCTGCCCCGTTCTCAGGAAATCCTTACATAAACAGTTCTTAGTCTTCCATACTCAAACTTTTGAGCTCCATATGACAATTCCACTTCTGTCTCCCTCTCACTGCTTGCAATTACACTGTCCACCTTTATCGGAACATGGTGAGTGACGCCTGGCAAGTTCACTTTCATCCGCACTTTCAATTTCTGATAGGAAGGCAGATCGCTGACCGACCGCAGGTTCATCAGCTCATTGTGTAGGTCTTTATTGTCAGAGATGTCTCTATGATGGAGGCTGACTGTCAGCAGATGCCTAGAAATGAGCCAACTTAATTCATTATCTACTTATCTCCACTACCTCCAAATTTTAGAATTTTCTATGCGCCAAAAAAAGTCATTCCTTTATTCAAATTTTTTTCGAGTCTAACAAAAAGTTTTAGAAACAACCATTCAGAAGCTTACCACAAAAACGACAGAGATGGCCTCGATTCTCTCAATGGGTTGTAGTTTTCCACACAAATCCGAGCAAAAGTTTCCTCGTACGAATCCAACACTCGACAATCCAACGTGCAGCTGTACACAAATAAAACATCGAGAACAGGCAATCGTTGAATGACGTTATCAATCAGCTAAAGACTATGTAATAGGGCTTACTGCACTTACTTCGTACGGCAACTCTCTCATAAATCTTTTGGCCACCCTGGTCTGCGCGGTCATTGAAAGAACAAGACGAAAGAAAATATATATTTCCGTGTTAGCGTCGGCTTGAGTCAACGGTGCCACTTTTGGAGTTCTGCTCTATGTCCACGCAAGAACGCTTTCAATGGTTGTTGCATAATAGCTTAACGCAAGCTCTGTCCTTATTAATTTACACAAAATTATCATCGTGTTTCAATGAAGGCCCAACAGAATTGGGGCACCAACTTGCAGTTGAATTTTGGACATTCTTCGTCTTCTCCAATCGTAAGTTGAAACATAAATATTTTTTATGTCTGACTTCAACAAAAATAACTTAAGCCCACATTTACAAACTTTACCCAAGTTTTCAACGATTTTCTGTGAGGAGTTAACGTCCCGCCTCCCTAATTACAAATCCCCAATTCGTTCCGAGTGACATCAATTCGACACAAATAGGTTTTCGCGGGTTTATCCAGATCCTAGAAACAGGATACGATCTCCACTCCTACGTTGGTAACAAAGCCCGCTCTTGAAAGTTGGGAGTATAACAAAAAAGAAGTGAGGTAGGAATGGCTTAGTCGCGAATGGAAGGAGGAGGTGTTCTTTATCAATCACCAGGCACTTCTGAAGTAGACAAGCGTCAATAACATGACCAAAAATGTAACAAACACCAAACGAGACAAAGTAATCTATAATACAACATACATATTTCTCGTCAATCCGTTCGACTCGAACCCTTGAATGTTCTTCCAGGCTGTCTTCCACAAAGCACCGCGAATCTTCTGTTAACGGCAACTGCACATATAAAGGGTGCCCCACAATTTCATCAAAACTGAACAGGAAAATGGGATTCTTCATATAAGGCAGACCATTTACAATCTGCATGTCGGCCACCGATTTCTGATTCAGAAATTTTGGGCTGTTCGGAGTGTGAAAACAATCATTCGTCTCCATATTACAGTAATAAAGCTCGTGAGGTGCTCCATAAAGTAGACAGAGATGTGGTGGATAAATGGACAATTTCAGCAAAGTTTTGTCCTCAGGGATTGGAAGAGTCGAGAGACAGATTGGGTCACACTCAGCAAGTAGATTTACTGAATAGAGACGATGGCATCCGTCGTGTTCAATATAGTAGAGGGTGGAACCAAAAAAATGAGCCAGCAGCCCATTAGGGCCGTATTTCATCTGTAACTCGGTGATTACAACAACTCTTTACACGCTCTTTACGGGCTTGGAAACCTGTTTGGGTCAGGGGTGCACCCCCTAGGGGTGGTCAGCGGACCCTATTTTTTCGATTTTCGGGGCCCGGCCAATCTAATTACCGGCCCGGCCCATCTAGTCTTTTTCCAGGCCCGGCCCGTGCAGGCCCGTTTATAGAAGGTTCTGCGAACTGCGCCCAAGCTTGGGATCTAAACTTAGGAAAAAAGGCGTTGATCTAGCTAGTAAAGGATCAATGTGATAGTTTTGTGGTTTTATAATGGAACTAAAGACTTGTAAACGTTTTAGAACTTGAGAAACAGCAACTATAACAACATCAATTAATTTTCCCCGCGCGAAAACAATGAATGCCAACGGTTTGGCATTGTAATTTAGACGGGCCGGGCCGGGAAAAACCTCTGGCCCGCGGCCCGGCCCTTTTGTCAAATGTCCATTTTTGAGCCCGGCCGGCCCGTTTGGGCCGGGCCGGCCCACTGACCACCCCTGGTTTGGGTACACTTTCCAAACGATTTATAGGCTGAATGGCAGGATCTTTCGACTTACCGGGATTGTAACTCTGTTCTCTTTTCGCAGACTGAATCCTTCAGCATTCCGAGCCACCAGGTCTGCTTGATAAGAATTGCCAATAACTAATTTTATTTTGCCCTCTTCTTCACTTCTTTCAATTCTATCCAATACATCCAATCCAAAGGGCAGAGCTTTCTCCTGATAGGCAAATTGGCGTGAAATCACGGTGACTTCGACCTGTGCAAGAGACAAACGTGCATATTTGAGGAACGATTGCAAAGCATAGGTCGCGTTATATGAAGGCTGAGGTGGGCGGAACTTGGAGTCCGATATTTGACGGAGATACCTAAAATAATATACAAAATCTGAAATGTTTTGTCTGGGATGTCAGTCACAGACACTTAAAAAGGTGTTATCTTACAGAAAGAATGAATCGCGAAATGTTTGGCCATGAAGAGGGAATCGATTTTCTATGCAGGCGTCGCGGTAAATGGATTCGGCGAGGGTGCTCCATTCTTCAGGGCAATCCTCCACCTCAAACGGTGATAATCTCAGAAAGATCGCGTGGGAAATCTAAAACTTGTTGAATAGCCAATGTAAAACCGAGTTGTAAACAAGTCTCCTAAATTTATTTACTTCATTCGGGAGTCTTTGAAGGAGTTTGTAGCCAACACTTCGGAGATCAGCCATTAATTTACAAATTTTGAGGTACCTCAACGTCTAGATGTTTCAAAATATACAAAACTTTAGAAAGAAGTCAAAATAATTTATTAAATAAATACGATTTATTGCTAGAAAAAGAGTAATATTAGAAGGAAAATTTTTTTGAGAGAAATATTGGGCGCAGTTTGGCATGAGGGTGAAAACAACTTGCGACAGTCATTTTATACGATGCAAAATATTGGCATTCTAAATATTTACAAAGAAAAACGTAAAGAACGAGTGGTACTTATATTTTGATCAAATTCTAGTTCCAAATATATTTTTCTTTTCAGTTCTTCAGGCAAATTTATGATAACCACAGGTCTGGGACCAATGGTCAAAAAAATCGACATTTTCTTTGATTTTTAGATCTGTGAGGTGGCCTAAAATATTTGTGCTACTCACCTTCGCTTCATGCCCTAATTTCCAAACCAACGTCTGCCTCAAAGTCAGACTTGGAACTTTTTCCGTGAACTCAAACAATGTTGAGATCAAAGTGACTGTCACTCAAACAAAGTAGCCTCCTAAAAAGATTTTGTTGTCGCTTTATTTTCTTCAGCCGACGGTTGCGCAATAGGTCAGCGATTACTCCTTTTGTAAACTTCAAGTAGTTTGTTTGAATCCATCTTTGGAACATGATCTTGGCTAGAGTTTTGCTTATGTTTAGCCTTGTAACAGCGGGAACTGGTAAGGGAATTGTAGCGAATCTAAGAAATAGTTGTAGCTTATAGATCTGAGAGCGATTTTCATCCAGAATACGTAAATTCCTTCCTTCATAGAGCCTCAACCTTTGCACTTTTTGATGTAAGTTGTAATTGTCAACAGAATTTGTGATATGTGATGACATCACTGCAATTTTAAGGCCCTATTTTTAGTCAAAAGCAAGCAAGGTTCTCCCCGATCTCCCACGAGCGGAAAGTCTGCGCTACAAAGCTTGTAAAAGGGTGGTTAAAAATGTCCTGGACATGGCTAAATGCGTTGTGAAACTTCTTGACAAACGGGATATTCTGATCGAATCCAAAGTTCATGACGAAGATAAACTGAAAGACATAAAAAGAAACGATGAATGCGATGGCCATGACGACAATGGGGATGGGAGTTGGCTTCGAGCGATATTTTCAATGGTCTACAGAAGTGTCATGTGTAAAGAAAAAAGTAGTAAGCGAAATGTATAAGTCGTGGTTGATGGTGAAAGGATCTATTCCATTTACCTTGATCTCAAACAAAGACAAAAATAAAACTCTTGCTATATATGGTTGCCCGTTTCAGCTGATGCACCGACCAGAACACAGTTCACAAGGAGTCGGCCTGTCAAAATCAGAAGACTACTTGTTTTTAAAAACCCCACAGCAACTCGTCAAGCAATACCACAGCAAGCTAAAGAGACCAGACGAAGACGAAAGCGAGTAGTTAGTGAGTTTTCAAAGTTATTACAGTATACCGCCATCTCTTTAAATCAGATTACCGTCGAATATTCAATGTGAGCCGAGTTTGTGATACTCCGAGCAGTGTTAAAGCCTTGAGAAACGTTCAAAAATACTTCGATCAGATGAATCATGTAATTAGGTACACTTACAATGTACGGAAGGAGAACGAAAGGTAGGATCCACTTACTTAGGCAATCACAATCTTGTTTTAGGTTCTTCAAAACTGCAAATTTAACCGTTTCCTTCAAAAACAAAGCTCCCTCGGGTGACTCGCCTTATGAGCAAATGCAAAAAACGATATCAGAAATGGAGAATTTTGATGACAAAGGAGTTGTCTCAATTTTATCGCCAAAGTTGTTTAATGTCTTGAGGGCATCACCGTTGGATCCGGATTCCAAAAATTACTTGTCTCCAAATATTCTCAGCTTCCAAGACGACGGAGTCATGCCATTACCAAGGCTTTTTCAAGTAAAGATTTTCTCATTTCAAAAACGCAAACAAAAATTTTTTTGTTTGAAAAATGATGACATATACTTGATTTTCAGTGGAGTAAATATAATTGTGAGACACAGAAATGGGTCGAGTTACTGCTAAATATGACCGGCGGAGAAAAATTATTGGAACAACATATGGCCAAGTTTGGAGAGCATATGAAATTTGTTGACGATACACTTTATCCAAGGATATTAGAGGTTCAAAACGTGGAGAAAAAAGTGGAAAAAGTCCATAGTTTGACGACAGGGGAGCAAAAGATACATATGGAAAAGTTTGGATTTGTAGAAATGAATAAAGATCAGCTGGAAATGGCGTATGGAAAGTTTGGTATGGGTTTTAAATTACCATTTAAAGTTAAAAAAAAGAGCCTTCTAGTTGATTAATGTTTTTCAGGTATAAATCCACAAGACGCTCCAAAAGTTTCCAACAACACTGATTTTGAATTGGAAAGGGCCATCCGCCAGCTTGCTCAAATGAGTCCCGAAGAACTCTTGGAAATGTCCGAAGAAATGGAAGGCGGTAATCACAAAGACGGTCGGTCCAAAAGACAAACTGGGCCACCTCCTCGTCGACCATCAATATTCGATTTTCGGATTCTGAATCCCTTTGGACTGGCAACCAGAGTCGGGAACCCAAACCTCCTTGGAAACTACATCTTGTCGCCTTACGCATTCTTTGCACAGATCTTTGCTCCGTACATGCTGGGGGTAAGTTCCACTTGATTTAATTTTTTATGATTTTCTAGAAGATCTTGGTGATACTTATTTTATTTTTATTAATTTTAATACAAGTGCTTGGCATTGTTTCCCATTTTTCAGGTCGACGTTCTCTCGCCCCGTTTCATGATAGCCACCATCTTCTCTCCTGTGGTCCTAGTCTTCCGAGTCCTTTCTCCCAGTGCCTTCCGTCTGATGCTCTTTTCTCCTCTCATGTTAATTGGCTGGGTGCTTGTTCCCGAAGCTTTCCTGGCCAAGATTTTCTCCCCCAAACTTCTGGAGACCCGTGTTTTGTCCCCCGAATCCTTCTCCGCGATTATTCTGTCACCTGGGGCTGGAGTTGCTCGAATTGCGTCGCCCAACGCGATGAATGTAATCGTTTTGTCGCCCTCCTTCTTTACTTATGGTCTCTATTCTGGGAATCGGTATGTTTTGCAAGTTTTGTCGCCTGGAATTGTCGGAATCGATGCTCATCCTCTTTTTCTGCCATTTTAGGAAGTTTTTATTATAATAATCATGTTAAAATCTAATAATAATAAGTTGAATCATGTTTGAAAAAAATAAATTCTCAATTTTGGTAAGTTAACCTTATTTATTAACCAAAAAAATTAAAGAATGCAAAAAACGTGACCTTGACAATTTTTATTTTATAAACAATTTTAGACCAGAAGACTTTTTATTGAGATTTTCGGCAAAGTTTTGTTATGATGACAATTGTTTCGCAATTTTTGTGATCAAAAAAATCCAGATATCTAATCAAAATTTAACACTCAATCATCATAACAAAATGCAATCAGAAAACTTCTCAATAACGTTTAGAACTGAATATTATGCATGAAAAAACTTTACAAACCTCAACAGCCGGAATATTTTAGACCTAAACGCCCCCCAAAGACCACTGTAAACATCGAATGTGCTGATAAAAAGTCGTCTGTTTTATATATTCGAATCCAATCGACATCGCTTTGGAGTGGGGGCATCATCGGGCTCTTCTTTAATCGAATTCTCGTCGATGGAATGGAATTGGCTGGGACTTTTGGTGGAATTTGTGGAGCTCGGGCCACTGTTCGGGTCTTCTGTGGGGGACTCGGTGATCTGAAGAAATAAAAATTAGTCACAAGTAATGAAATTTATTTTTTTTTGCTCTGCACAGTGCGAAAAAGACAAATTTCTGGCCGCACCGTGCAAAAAATTAAAAGTTTTAGGACTGCGCTGTGCAAAATTTTATCACTATTACCGGTGCACAGTGCAAAAAAATTTTTTTTGAGCGCACCGTGCGAAATCAAACAAGTAAAAAATTGCTGCACAGTGCGAAAAAGACAATTTTCTGGCCGCACCGTGCAAAAAATTAAAAGTTTTAGGACTGCACTGTGCAAAATTTTATCTCTATTACCGATGCACCGTGCAAAATCAAAAAAATTGCTGCACAGTGCATTAAAACCAATTTAAAAAAATTGACCCACCGTCAACGGCAGTGCTCCAACTTGTCTCCTGTACTTGTAGAAGCACTCCATGCATCGTGGTTCGTCCAATCCCACACTAATTACCAAGAATTCCTGGATCCTGTCGCAGGATTTGCAGTAATTTTTGTCCTCCGAATTCAAGGATAATGTCGACCCTGACCGCTGGGAGTTTATTTCATCGCCGAAACTGTGATTTCTCTCCATTGATGCCCTCAGGGGTGTGGTTGAGAGTAAGTGTGATTTCATTTGCAGTCTTTTTTGTTGGTTCAGTCGGATTCTTTGGAGCTCAAAGTTGCGCTTTTCCCGCTGATTCGCGGATTTGGCCAAGGATTCGGCGTCAAAAAGTCCATGAGATGCACTTTGGGGCGAATTCAGATGGGAGCGGGATGACGCGGACGATTTGAGACTAGAAAAAAGTCATTTTAAACCAAAAAACGGTCATAAGCTTGATAAAAATTGCAGTTTTAGAGGCTGCATTTAGTCAAATCTTGATGAATTTTTAAATTCTCACCTCTTAATTGCCTCGAGCAACGATTTTCTCTCAAATTCCAGATGTTCCAAGTAGCTGTTTGGGCCAACTTTTTCCTCACAAATGGGGCAGGTTATGTTCCCTTCGTTGTCGCATTGTAATTCTGAAAAATTTTCTTTATTTTAACCACCCAATTGTCATCATTTTTGAGCCCAACTTTTGACTATATTTTATTTTGATTCCCCGGCTTTATGTTTCATTTTGTTTTCTTTCTTGCGCCACTTTTTATGCAAATTAATACATCTTGAGCCCTTTATCGGAGGGTCGTAAAATCAGCGACAAATCCAGAGCGATGGATGGATAAACAAAAGTCGTATGTTTATTAGAGAAGAGGGCCGCGCTTAATTGATCGGGCTTGGCAATTAGGTCGGAACTTGGCCAAAAGAGTGAGTTCTTTGAGAAGAACAAAAAAATAAGAAGAATTGTTGGGTAAAAGATATAATAAAACTGCATATACGCCTTATGACATACGACTTTTACGTCTTTAGATGCTATAAACTTTATATACAGTACTGTCGCAAGTCCGGACCTCAGCCAGTGCATGTGAAATAGCGCGAAAATGGAGCAAAAATTGATTCCGTTCGTCTTTGTCAGCCGTTTTTTGTTCGGCCTTCCTTTGTCGGCGCGCAGATTGATCCCCCCGAATTCATTTCCGTTTTAATTTCACGGTCAATTGTTTCATGGATTTTCGTACTTTTTGCAGGTAATTAACAAATCCTCCCCTCGAAGATGACTTTACATAAAGCTGCCTACAGTAATCGCTAAGCTTCTCAAAAACTTTTTCAAATTTTGCCTTATTTTTTATATTTTCATGACCTTTTTTTGATTTTTCAGAACCCAAATACCCATAAATGTCTTCGCTTTTCTTGGGTTACTTTTCTCCTTCGCATACAATGAGTGAGCGCGGAATGTAATGAATAAATTACCCGTCGATTCCAGGGCTTTATTTGGAGGTGCATCCCGGCTTTGTTCTCTCAATTTTATGCAAATTTTACGAGTAGAAAAGGATGGAGAGTTTGAGGAGAAGAAGTGGACCATGACAGAAAGATGATTTACTACGGTAAACAGAAGGGATATTTACCAAATTTAGCGATGGGAAGGGCGGGGAGAAAATAGAAGGCATGGATAATATAATAGATGACATAGGGCTAGGAAATGATAATGAGATGAGAACCAAGGTTCAAATCAAAGCTCAAGACTCAGTTTATAGCTGGTTAAATTTATTTTGCTGTAGCTACATCAGCCAGGTATATATGGCACTTACAATAAATGAGGACATTTGGTTCTATCTCCCCATTTTTTGGCCTTTTTTCATTAGCGAAATCTTGATGTTCGCCCCCATAGAAGTGTCAATAACCGCAGATCCAATCGCTTTACACAATACCTCATCATCCCCCTCGCTATAAAACCCCATAACAGTCCAAACAAACGATCGACGCCCAGCTGGATAAGGATCTCATTGCGTAAAGACAATAAAAAAGAGAGTCGAGAATAAAACAAAGACAATAAAAGTTGAATAGGCAGATTAGGAAATTAATATTGGTCAAATAATGAGATAGAAGGGAGACTTTTGAGCGCTGTTTTTACCTTATTTTAGGCATGCAAAAGTTGCTAGATTTGAATCCAATCTTCTCTCCAGTATAATATAACTTTTTGACAACCCAAACTGAACCGTTAATGCCTCCCCGAAGAGATGTCCGCACTCCCGAAAAACACATAAAAAACTTTGGGATTCCATAACTCCAACTCAATATAAATCTCAATTTCCGCGCCGACTTCAAAGAGATTTGGCCGGAGGCAAATTTCAACAGAAAAGACGTCCAGCGAGACACAATAAATAACCGCTACTGTACGAATAAATCCAGGATTTATTGGTGGTGGGGAATTCATTACGGATCCGCTGTTGTCCGGCCATAAATTTGATTATTACCGTAGATTTTGGGGATTGATGTCTAGTTCAATATTGATGACTTTGCAGGTAATTTAAAGGGCTTGATGAGGGGTTATGCGGTTTCTAGATAGGCGAAGGCTTGTTTTGTATTTTTAAACATCTTTTGAAATAAAAATTGGACGTTTTTTGATGTAAAATTGAAGATTGCCATCAAAAACATCTAGACTAATATCAAGTATAAGGTTTTTTGGCTATATTTCACTTTTGCTTTAATTGACACTAGCTTAGTAAACTTTATAACAAAGACTGGACCGTAGAAAAGACTCTGAAAGCACTATCAATTTTTGAACTCTAGTGTTTACTTCCTTACAGCCCCTCTTTTACACCATACCCACCCAATATGTCTCTCTGCAAAAACCAACTGCATTTTTGTCGGTTGAGTAACAATGGGCGAGCCGACTAAATTCCCGAAACCCAATTAATCTCATGCTCTTCCATCCTTCATTCTTCACACTAAAATTGCGCAACATTCTTGATTGGAAACAGAGGGTGCGCGGCCTTTGAAGAAGGAGCGGCGCGGGTCCTTTGATCGCCTCTCGATTCACACTTCAAGTCTCGATTACATCCGGAAGAAGGATGAGGAATCTCGAGATCCTATGATCTCGGCATGAGATTGGGAAGAGGAAGTGGGGTAAGATGGGATACTGTGGCAAATACGATGATTTAAGCGATTTAGGACAGAAACTCGAGATTTGGCCGGTTTTTGTAAAAATTGTCTGCCATAAATAGGTCGGAAGTTTGCTCTATTATCTTCTATAGATCTCAAGGAACTTTTTGCAAGCTAACTCACCAAAAACAGGCCTTCCTAACAATTTCAATTTTTATCACAAAGCTAATTTTTCCGAATTCCTTCAAATCTCCCAACTTTTTTTTGGGTTCAAACCTCAATTCAGGTGCCTACTGTAGCCCAAACTTGTCAGATTGAATATTGTTTCAAGGAAGGCGGTCGGACTCACTCTCGACTCATCCCAATCGAAAAGGCAAAGGACGATTCAATCGTTTTTCGATCAGCGTGACTAATGCCCGTGCCGAATCCGTGCGTCAATCTCGGCTTCTCCACACACACACTTAACTGTTTCATAGTTAAAAACATCGATTGCTTTTGTAAAGTTTGCGGTCGAAGAGAGAGTTTTGAGGCGAGAGAAAGCGAGGAATTTATGCAAAACTTGGCCAAAAAACATTATGAAAGAAGAAAGTAAATAAATCAAAGGCCAGTAATAGGTTTCCAACATGGTGAGAGATATATGGGAATACTAATCAAGCAAAAATGCGCATTCGGGAACCATTACTTTATCAGTTTCTACAATTTCCCATTTTTTGCTTTTTTTATGTAAAATTTCTCCTCAAAGTAAGCTTGCAGTCACTCAGAATACTCGTTACCTTCCCCCCTATAAAATACAGTAACCTCTCGCTCAGTCTCTTCACCATATGTCGCCTCAGCGCATCGTCTTTACAGGTCATCGCCTTCTTAATTCTCTTCGCATTCCACCCTCCCAAACGGATTTAAATGGATCGTTTATATACTGTAGTCTAAGCGTATCCAGACGGAATTTAGAGGTCTTTATCCTTGAGGAAAGTCGTTAGTTTTCGAAGGCAAATTGAGTTAAAAATCAAAAAAAAAGTTTTTGATTTTTCTAAAGTAAGATAACGCTTTCTTAAATAAGTTTTACGTCTTAATAAAGCCGGTAATTCTATCGCAGATAGCGTCGTACCCTACAAAATGAATTAAACCCTTTCACACCCAGTAATTTGCAGTGAACTGTACAAAAAAGACCTTCATCTTCTCCATCGGACCTCCCAAAAACCACATAAACACGTAACTGTCACTACAACCACCCTCATTCTGACACTCTCATTTGCTTTTACTATCTTCAATCTCCCACAGTGCGACGATTTATAAACTTTTTTCCGCCTGCAAACTTTTGCCGCACTCAATTTATCTGGCGGTAACAAAAAAGGTGTTAATTTATGATCATGGCTGGCTGATCGATGATCATAATACTCTTAATGAGTCCGACTTTTACGAATATTTACTATAAAGTTGAGTTTCCAATTTTATTAGATGCACTGTGCGGGAGCGCACTGTTCTTAGCTTACGGATTAGTGCAAAAACTGTGCGGTGGCGCACTGTGCGGGAAAGTTTTGAAAAAATCTTGGAAAAAAGATTTTAATAACCGATGAATAATTTTTTTTGCTTCAGACAGCCTTTGTATCGTCTGGTGACTCTAAATTTACCAAAATTTTCTAAAATTTTTGCTCAATTTCTTTAAAATTTACTTTAAAATATTTTGTGCCCCGCACAGTGCAATAAACTGCGGCTGTTTGTCCCAACAGATGGGGCCATATTGAGCGTTATGTAACCATTGTCACTTTCCCATAAGTCGTAAATGAAAACAAATAAGAGCCCTCCGAGTTTACGATCCGCGGATCCAATTTGGGGTCGCGGCGACAACAGACCGAGCCGGCCATAAAACCGCCGCAGGGCACGATGACTTTTTTCTCGGTTAAATTAAGGGTCAAGCCAGTAATTTTGGAGGAGGAAAAGTAATTTGTTTACTCACTTTTGGCTGCCGAACCGGGACTAGCGGCATTCAGCGACATGGAAGTGGATGAGGCGCGACTTTCCGACTCTGAAAATGATTTCCATTGCGATAAAAATTTGGCTGACAGAACAAATGCTTCAAAAACTGAAAAAAATCCAACTTAAAAGCCGCAAAAACGCACCGTGCACTGCCGAATTCGGCGACGATCCATACTGCCCCGACTTCATGAACTGCTGCATCAACGGCAGCATCCCATAAGCACTGGTACTGGTCGCCAATAAATTATTCAAATTCATCCCAAATCCCGGGAATCCGACGTTTGTTGTGGCCGCGGTCTGCGGTTTTTGTGATGCACTGTGCGGCGAATGCGGACCGGCTTGCGACGTCGCGGTACGGCCGAAAGTTGTGTTGAGGAACGGCGACAGCGGTTGGGTTGTGTTGGCTGTGGCCATTCTGCAATTTTTATTCAAATTTTCGCTTTGAAACTCGAGAAATTCGAAAACCACGAAAACCCGCACTGTGCACGAGGAAAAGAGACGAATTAGGGCGCACAGTGCAGAAGCTTTGCACAGTGCAATCAAAACCTTTTCAAACCCCAAACAATCACTTGCACAGTGCGTCCAACTCTCTCAACCAACGATCGCACTGTGCATCAAAACAAAAGTTTCCAACCTCAAAAATCATTTTTTTTTGTCCCACTCGGCCCGCGCGACACGCACCCGGCTTTTGTTTGAATCACGCGACACAATTCTGGCGATCCCCCGACCGCGATTGTTGCAAACCCGCGACACAAAAACAAAGAAAGAAAATTTTGGGGGGAAAGTTCAACCGCACCGTGCGCCAAAACGGCGGGTTCTCTTTGCTCAAAAAGCCCGTCAAATGACAGGAGGCAAAGTTCATTGCACAGTGCAGATGGAGACCAGAAACGCGATGGGCGTTGAAGGTCAGCACTGGACAGTGCGGCTGGTTTGGAAGTTTGGGAATGCACTGTGCGATGGGGGAACGATGAGGAAGTGCACTGTGCATTGCGACAAAGAACTCCGATTTGCACAGTGCAATTTGTTGTCGCAAAAGGGGAGTCGCGACAAAAAAGGAAATTTTTGCACAGTGCAATCAAAAAATGAGTCAAAACCACGCACAAAAAAAGGAAAAAAGCGACAAAAGTCGCGACAAGATGGATTCGCTCCAGTGACAAAGAGAAATGTCGCAACACTTGTCACGCCGCGACAAGCCTCGCAGTCAGGAGTCGAGGATGACACCGCACGGTGCACTTGAAAACGCAATTTCCGAGCCAATCGGAAGACTTCACTCTCGCGGAACCGTAAGCGACAAAAAGATGAAGCGAAGCGGGCAGTCAGTGGACCCTCTCGACAATGAACAACAAGAAAAGAGAGACTTTGCCGCACTCTCCGACTCCGCCCTCTCGCGATGGAAGAAAGAAAAAAGAGAGAGAGGAGTTCCTCATCCAGTGCACAGTGCAGTCCGAGCCAATCGTCGCTCTTCGTTTGGCTTTTGTCGCCGCCTCTCCGCACTTACTCTCCGACCGCACCGTGCAAATCCATGGAGGGAACTTGAGGCGTTGATGGAGAGTTGGAGAGAGCGCGATGCATGCGGAGACGGCAGAGAAAAGACTCCCCTCTCCTCTTCTTCTTCACCATCTTCTGGATTTCCAATTTGTTCGCCCATTCAGCAGGGAAAACAAACAAAAGACAGGCTGACTTTCGCACCGTGCGGCACCAAGAGCTTGTCGCGGCTTCAATTTCACGTGCCACTGCACTCTCCCGCAATGTTTGACAAGCGGCGGCACTCTCCAGCGATGATTGCTCATCGCCGAAGCCCGGGAAATTGGAAACAAAATTTGAAAATTTTTGGAATCACAAGTGCACCATGCAACGAAGGGGCAGTCGCAGAACTCGAGAAAGAATCTTGCACTGTGCAAAAAATTCCGAAATAAAAATTTCGCAATTCTTTCGACGCACAGTGCAAAAGGGCTCTTGATGATTTTCGCACGGTGCAAATTTTTTGAAAACTTTGCACAGTGCAGATGAAAATTGACTTTCAAATGAATGTTTCGCACTGTGCAGCAAAATGAAAAACACATTGCACTGTGCAAATCCAAAAAATAAATTGCACTGTGCGGGCGGAAAGCTTTGTTCTCAAAAAACAGCGGATAAGTGAGGGCCGACATTCGATCTTATCCAAGCCCATTAATCACCCAACAATTCCTTCTTTTTCAGCGATAAAAAATAAAAATTTTCGGATTAAAAAACTGTTGCCAAATAAGGAATTTCTTGAAGCGAGGGCAGCTGCGATGGAAATTAAGAAAAAAAAGAGTGGAATGAATGAAATCGGGTAGAGTCGCGACATTTGGGGATGATAAAAGTAGTGTCAGAAATGGGAGAGATCAATTATGACAGATGTTCGGAGGAGGGAAACGGGAAGGCAGGTAAGTAACTGGATTTTATGGAAAAATGAGTGGGGTTTGGGTAAAATATGGAATTTTTTTGTTGTCCGGGAATATTTTTCCAGATCTCGAAGACAAACTTGGCAATTCTGAGCAAAAAAATTCCATTTCTTGTGCCAAAAATTCTGTGTTCGATAAAAAAATTTGGTTTTGAGCTGTTCAGTCATGACAAACGATATTTAAAAATTGAACCAGATTGTGTTTTAATGACATCAAAAAAATTATTTGTCAAAATTTTTAAAATTCCAACGGCACTTTCAATTTGAAATTTTCAAAATTTTTGACTTCAAATTTTCACAAAAAATTCTTCGACTTTATTTTTCTCCCCCAAAAAAGGATCGGTGGCAATGTCCTTTGCAAGAAAAAAAACAGAAAAGATCGCAACAAATTTAGCTGTCAATTTGTCCGTGAGTGCGCGACAAATTCGTTGTCGCTTTGATGTGACCGCCGAACGTTTCCAAAAAAGGAGAATTTAAAATTGCATTGGATGATGAACATAAATTATGTCCGCTGACTACGCAACTCCACTTTAAACATTATTAAACAGTAGTTTATGGTGTTGTAAAGGTTGGCATTTTTCAGCGGAGAGTAATTTTAAATCAAACAAAGTTGTGAAAAATGGGAAATTTTTAAAGAATGGGGCAAATGAGGGAAAAATTATGAAAAACAAAAAAATCAAAAAAATGGTCTTCAAAGACGATGAAAATTGGCAAAAAATTATGTCATAATGTGACAAGAAATATGGCAGAACTCTAACTTGTCATTTCCAGAAACTGTTACAATTTTTAGATTGAAACAACTGATGATTTATAGGATAATAAAATTACTGTACAAAAAAATCATCTTTTTCGGTAAAAACCCCTCAAAAATACAGTCAAAAAAAACTTCCGGCCGCTTCTCCAAATTATCCATACTCTCTAATAGCTCGCAAAAGATCGGTAAATATCGCTATTGCCCCTTCAAATCGCTGGTTGAAATTCTTCGCACCTTGATAAAAATTCAATATAGAAAAACTATCCGAAATTTGAAAAAGATCATAATGTCCCACTTGTTCTACTGCCCCTGTGAATTTAAGATTGAGAAAATTGATTCCAAGATCCAAATTCCAGCAATCCCCACCCCACCCGCCACCTCACCATTTATTTTCCCATTACTCCGTTCGCTACTTTGCCTTCATGTAATTTGTAAGGCCCTTTTTTGGGGGAGCGCAACAAACCTCCGACAAAAGGGCAGTGTATCATAAATTTAGAAGGCACGACCTCGAAAAAAATTTGAATCCAAGGTTTCTCGGGGTTATTTATGGGCCGAGATTGGAGGAAAAACATGTTGCGTGTGAGATGAAGGAGTACCAGATAAGATAGGAGATGTTCTGAATGGGAGATGACATTGGGAAAGTCTTGAAAGGAAGTAAAATTTGAAGAAAAATATGAGGAAGGAAGAGCACAAAATATGAGGAAGGGTCGATAAAGAAAAAGGGGCCGAGGAATATGCTTACAGCTCATAACAAAGATATTCCTCAAAGTGCAACACTCAGAACACCCTCTACTATTTGCCCTTTATATACATTAGCTCTTTAAAATTTTGGCTCGCGCTTTGCGGGGCACATACTCAACGAGTCCAGAGAAAAAAATTTCCAATTTTCAGTCACCCTTTTTTTTGATTGGAAAATTATTTATACGGGATGCGACGGCACGTGATATATTCACAGGCCATTTAATGTGAGATATCATGGACTAATAGAGCTATAGCCAAATATCTTTCGGATTTTAAGCCGATTAAAATCAGTGTAAATCTAAGGCAATGAAGTTAAAAGGTCAAGGTGCAGATCGACTTTTTATGAATTGACAAAACCATAATCTCACATTACCAAAGCCAAGATACCACTCTCTTCTCTTCCGATTCCCAACTCTCACTCAATAGATATTAACTTTGACTTCCAGTCCCCAACCACTGAAAGAAAAGAAAGGAATGAAAAGAAGAAGAGTGATAATTGAATATTCAAAAGTTGTGCACACTTCCAATCAATCACTGAATCACTCCCCTCTCCCCACTCTTCCTAAAACAAGTCTTCACTTTCAGCGTTTTTATCTCCCTGATTGGCTGATTCAGCGGAGGCCCGAACAAACTGCCAAGATTTGTTTTCACTTCTTCTTGGCCTACAATGATCAACATGGGCTGACATTTGTGAGTAAGAAACTTGGGGGAAGGGTCGGAAAAGGAAAGTGTTTCGAAACTGTAGATAAAGGTTTGGTTGAAAGCTAAGTCTGTCAAATTAAGTAAGGTTTGATAGGAAAATATGTAAAAAATGTCAAAAATTATAGTCATCATATTTTGATGAGAATTGTGAAGGATTGAGGCCATTGTTTTCTATTTAACATACGACATATGAGAGATTTGAGATTTTTATAACTCGTGCTTTTTGGAAATCATCCAAAATTCAGATAAAAATTACTTCTTCACTGACCGATAAAGACGGCTAAAATTTTCGAGCAAGGTTCGAAACCTTTTTATGTGGGTGACGGATAGAGACTAACGATTTGAAAAATTCAAATTTTAAGAGTTACTAAAAAAAGAAATTTGAAAACAACCTTACGCGAGTCATTCACAGATTGTTCGAAGGAAGCTGGCCTCTGCATAAGACTTATTTTTGACGTAAAATTTCCAACGAGATTGGCAAAAAGTTATGACCACTCCTCGTTTCTAATTGTCTCTCATCTTGAAGGATGCCAAGATAAAACTTCCAGGAATTATGAAGTGGACGCCATTAAATTTAACTTTATGAAGTTTAAATTGAATGTGATCAGACATGACTTCTAACCGAGCCAAGAAAACTTGGACAGAAAACTTTACCGGCCGATAGCTACGCCCAGACAGATAACAGCGAGAAATTGAAGAAAACATTTGTGCGCGAAACAAAGGATGTTAGTTAAGAAGACTTAAAATAACATCCCTCACGTCTCCAGACACCTCTTGGGGGGACTCCAGACCCCCTTACGATCCATTTATCCTACCTACCCATTCAGAATCCACACACTTCCCAACTTTTTTCTCTCCGACTCCATGAAGCCTCAGATTCCAGTTTGTGAAACTTTTATTCGACTTCGCCATTTACTGAATCAATCCCTTGACACATTTAAATGTTCTTTTCAGCCAACACAATAGCAAGTTCTAAAGAAAAAAAGTTTTTGCATTCAGGTAAAAGCCACTTTTTGGGCATTGTTAAACAGCGAATTTTGAGAGAATTGTGGCTGAATAAATAAAGGTTATACTGGTTGGTTGAGGCTAAGGATGACTGGAGTGAGGAATGGAAGAATATTCAGGACTAAATTATAAGCGCGGAACCGCAAAACTTGACTGTTATTACAAGGTTTTCATGACATACTAGTTATCAAAGACCATACGATATTTCTAGCAAAATCTCAAAGGCTAACTAGTCTATGGCAAAGCCAATTTGCAGAGAGAATAACAAAATCCCAAACTTGTTCTGAGGAGATTCCTCAATATTTGCAAAGCCCTAATAAAGACAGTTTACTATAGGTGTTTTGCTTGGCGCCATGACAACTCGGGCTCCAAACAAATCGGGGCTGTTTGTCGGTTATATCCAAAATACCGTGTAAAAAGTTAAGCCTTGCGGCTTGAAGAATTGAGAGACGCAATAAACAACAATAAATCTATGTTCTACCTGGAACTTTTTATTCAACAGGCACCCCGAGTTATCCGGGTACACATACATTTCTCATCAAAAAAAATCAAAGTTGAAACATACATAGTATTTTCCCCACTTATTACTGCATAATAACACTATAAAAGGTCAGAAATTTTGATGAAGCAAATGAGATACGTGACTCTTCCCAGAATCACATAGCAACGTCATTTGGGATCATTCTTTCCTATATGTAATAGCCATGTAATATTTTGCATAAATGAGTAATCAAATAGTCATAGAACTTTGACTTACAAACAAAGTTTTGGATCTTTTTTTGACTCCGATCATCCCCTCTCTCCACTATTCATCTTGTAAATCTATATATTTTGGGCTCATTTCCCTCAAAACCCATCTAAAACCAAATGGAATTCACTTAAAGCAAATCTTTCACTAACCAATCAAACCCTCAAAATCTGACCTCAAACCCGCAAAAAGAATCGACGCCCATAAAACTCGAGAGGACGGAATATATACAAAACTTCCCCCTTCAACGACATCTTCCCCATCTTTGTAATG